GGTTTATTTTTTTCAATATCTTTTACATGATAAATGGTATTTTGAATAGTTATTTAACTAAGTATTTAAATCAGCGACTTTTAAGACCACTGAAAATTCGGCGATTTTCAAAGGGACTATAAAGTCGCCGAACAACTATTAGTAAAATTATACATTAATTGGAATAATATCCAAATTCGATTATATTTAATCTGATATTTTTTTGTATTTCTCATTTCTAATCGAAACTTAATAATCAAGAATTTATGTGGTTGTATAAATTTGATGTTTAATGTTGTTGTTTTAAGATATTAAAGATGTTTTTGTTTTTGAAATTTATGTTATTATTGTATAACACTTCTTGCATTAAAATTATTTAATAATTAATATCCATCAAATTGGAATTAAAAACTGTATTGTTAATGATTGTTTTGTGATTAATCGAAAAATAAGCATTTTTGTTGCCATTTAATTGTCAAACTCTTCACCATCAAATTGTAAATCAGCATTTGTAGTGATAATTTGGGTAAAAACAATTTATTGTTTGCAAAATATTGAACTTCGATAATTTTTAAGAAAATGTAAAACAAAATATTTAAATGAAAAACGAAAGCTTAACCAATTTACAAATGTTGTTATATTTTATTTTTAGTGTTTATGTACTCATTTAAACTTACAACGATAGATTTGTTTTTGTTGAATGTTGATTTCATTTTGGAATACACTAAACACGCACAAAAATGTTATTGTTTTTGATGAACAAACATTTATGCTGCATTTTTTTGTCAACCATAAAACCAATCTTTTATTATTTATGAATTTAATGATCCTTTTTACAGTTTAATTCAAATTTAATCTGTGGCTTGTAATTCATCAGTTAAAAATTGCAAATGATTAATGATTTATATCTTTTATCTAAAGTTATTTCGATGAATAATAGTATTAACAGTTGCTATTAATAATAAAGTTCTTCATAAAATAAAAATTTTTGATATATTAACGATCGGTTATTTATTGTTTATAAAAGCAACATGTTATGGAAGTGTTTTGTGTTACAAATCAATGTTTGTATGTTTATCGTAATTTAAATGGATAAACTTTAATTTGAAATTATTTTATTTGTTTATAAAATAATATCCATTTTCCATATTTTCATTTTTTTGTTTCAATAGTTCATATTTAACAAAAAGAACTAAACTAAAATATATAACAGATGTTACAAAAGATCAAAACAAAAAGTGATATGTTTGTTTTTAAATAAATTTTGATAATCTTTATTTAAAAAGTGTATTTATTATTTTTATTAAAGACCACATTATAATTGTTTACAAAACATTCAATTAAATATATAATAAAAGTTAAAATTTTAATTCTTATTAATAAAACAATCATCCGTATATGAACAGACCCATCAACATTTTTATACAAGTTGATTAACAACTTGATTTTTCACTGTTTAAAATTTGTTTTGATATTTACAATAAAGTATATACAACCAATTAATATAAATTGGTACTTTTATGTTGTACAAATATTTGACTTTTTATTGATAGTTGCGCAACTAATAATGAACTTTTCAAAACGTTTGTCATGAATTGAGATAAATATAAAGATCAATTATTACGTTTTTTTTCTAGACCTTTTGCCCAAATCATTAATTTTAATTGTTTTGAAATCTGATCATTTCCATTATATTTACATGGTCCTTGATTACCGTCATTTCAAAAAATCCTTTACACCTTAGATATATACACATCGTGTTTTAATCAATTTATTGTTAATTCTTTATCTATTTTACATTTATATTTTGTTAAAATTAATAATAAATTATATTCATTATTTTAAAACTTAAATTATTGTTTATTGGTAAAATATTAATCGTTAATTAAAAAAAGACGCGCTAATTTTAATGCTGAAAACGCAAATTATGTTTTATACATTAAATAAACATATTTTTTTTCAAAAAGCTTTTTTTGTTCGGCAATTTCGTCCAACTTTTTTGAACAAATATTATGTTATAATTTAAAAAACTATAACAATGAAAAATAAGTCCAATTAACTGAAATAAAAACAAAATTAATTTAAAAAAGATAAAAATATATACACTTTTGGGAATAAGTCTTATTTTTTATATATATTTTTCTAACCATGAGTAAAATAAATATAAATTTAAACATGAAACACAATCAAACTATTAATTTATTAATTACAATTTATTAATTATTAATTAATTTTTGTAAATATTTATATTATATTAATAAATTAACAATAAATTAAAACATATAATATGATAAAGTATAATGATGCTATATTATATGATATCGAATAATAAAAATTAACGTTAATTAAATTCAGTTAGTCAAAATATTAAAATCCGAAGTCAAATCTTCAATTAATTTTCTATTTGATTATTTTAATAGTTTTTTAAATTGTTAATCAGTTATGAAGTATTATTTGTCTGAATTCTATCAATTACATATTATTTTATATTCAAACCATTTATTATGATAAACATTATTTATTTTATTATACAAACGCTTTGAAAATTTTAACCAAACCCGCCTTACAAACATTTCAATTCCGTTTTTGTTTCTCGTTTATTTTTCGACTAACATTACTATCAAAATATAAAATTGTGGGCTTTTTTTGAATAAAAGAGGTATTCACACCACAAAAATTATATATTTATCTAGTTATTTTACCAATAAAACAATATACAATCAATCATTTTGATAGACACCACAAAATGAACAAGATGAAATAATGAATATAGATGCTCCATTTAGAGTAAAACTAATCATATTAATTAAACTGTAATTGTAAATCAAATAAACAATTATTGTTTTTAAATGTTGTCATTGTTCAAAAAAACAAATTCATTTAAATATTTTGTAAAAGTCAATTCATTTTAAAACTTTCATACAATAACTTATGATGGTGTTGCAAACTATATTTTAATTTAAGCGTTAATATGATTTTTTGACAACAATTGTAATTAACACAAAAAATATTTAACTATCATAATTTATATTTTATATATTGTTATATTTTTATGTGCTTGTGTTGTTGTTTACTATTATTTTTATTTTAACGGAATGATAATATTATTATGTTTATTTTTTTGTTTGTAATAATGGATCGTGCATATATATATATATATATATATATATATATATATATATATATATATATATATATATATTGGTTAACAATGAATAATTTGTTAATTATATATTTAATAACTGAATTTGCTTATTTTTTCTTGTTGATGTAACCAAATTTTTTATTGGTGTTAAATTATTATTTTTTTCATCATATTTAATCTTATCATTAGTTTGTCATTATAACTAATTAATTATCAATGTCAATTTAATTTAATTAATTTATTCATTATATAATCACCTAAAAAGAAAATGCATATATCATGTAATGTTATTATTACTTTTTAACCCTTCGAGTACCAGAAATTAACAATAATTAATTTTTATTTTTTTTCAAAAATTTTAAAAAAACAAAACCCAATTCCAAAATTCTGAAAAGGTGACAGGAAAATTACCATTTTATAGTTCATGAAAGCCAGTAAAAATAATGTATAAACAAATAACCGTCATTTTTTTATTAAAACAACAAAAAATGAATAAGTGAGTAGCAATTTTTAATTGAGTGTAACAATTACTTGTTGTTTATAATAAAAAATAATTCAAAAGTATAACAAGTGTTAAAAATGCCAAATGTTTTGAAGATACGAAAAAGGATTTACAAATTGAAGTTTACAGTTCATATTGTATAGTTTTATTATTATAAATTTACTATAATGACAACTAAAACGATTAATTATAATAAATAATTTAAATTTAAAAGTATAGTTTATTCGTTGAACCCTTATGTGGGGTTATGTGTGTTACTTGCTAATTCATTGAACATTTTCACTTTTCTTTTTGTCTCTTTCATGTATCAACATATCACTCTTCTTCATTTCTGTTATATAATTTCGTTTTCGACGCTTTTATCGTTTATTTTGGTTATAGACAAAAGACATTACATCATAACAAGTATATATAAAATGAAAATAAATGAAAATAAATAAACAACAACAAACATCAGCCCAAAGCAAATAAAAGTTGTTCTTTTCACTCATTATCTACTACGTATATTTGTTCAAATATGTTTTTTGCGTGTTCATTTGATAATGTATATTCATTAAACACTGCAGAGTTTTACCCCCTCATAGTTATTGATAATTAAAATTTACTCAAAAACAAACATTTAAGATGAAAGGTTTACATGTACATTTTTGAAAATTACAATCTGTTTGTTAGTATCTAACATAGCACATAGAAATTATAAACAAACTGTAACATTTAAGTACAAAAATTCGTATTTGCGTGCTTGTGTATATATTCACCCATTCTTCGTTAATATGTTTATGTTATGTTATCCTTTTAGTGTTATTTTCATATTATTTTATTATAAAATAATATATTATTTATTATATTATTTTAATATAATAACTATTATTATATTAAATAATAATATTTATTATTTTTTAACTTTCGGGGTTGTTGTTTCTATTTATTTTTATTTTAAAGTGTTTTTATAAAGTATAATGAATGTTATTTTGTTTTAAATGTTATTATTATATATTTTCATTAATTTATTTTGAATTATGTAATATAATAATTAAACTATAATAAAACCATTATACCAACATTCATGTTACAAAAAAAAACATCTAAACTCGTTCTTATCACATGGAAGATTTGATTGTTGGTGACTACAAGTGGAAAGCAATGGGCCCCATCAACAAAGAAAAGAAAAAGTTCAAAGGAAGGTTGCGAAGGTGGGCGCTGACTATAAAGCAGAATTTTGTAATTTGACTGCTTCTGACTTGTTTTTTAAGTTTTTTGACAAAAATTTAGTCGAAAAAATAACAGCATTTACCAACGCCAAATTATCAGGAAAAAGGTAAACTCCAAATAACAAAAACAGACATTATACGATATTTCGGCATTTTACTATATATGGGAGCACACTGTGACATAAAGAATCCAATTTCCGAGCTTTGGAACGAAAAACACGGGAAACCAAATATTTATGGTAAAGCTATGCCAAGAAATGTTTTTCAACTTATCAATGCCAACATAGAGACTTACGATGTCACAACTCTTCCGGATGAAGTTGAGAAAGAGAGTTGTTTTATAGGTGATGAAGAAGAGAGTGAGGACAGTGCATCCGATAAGGAGAAAAATCCAGAGAATAAAGAAGAGACTGAAGAAGAAGACTATTTGAGTTGTGATGAGTGGGTCAAAAAACATCCTGTTGACCCGACCGAAGAGAAGCTAAAAAAGGATGTTGAAGTGAGACAAAAAGTAAATGATGAAGAGACTATAGAAAGGGGGTTAATCAAAGCATCAAACACGCCAAACTCAAATGACAAGTTTGGCAAAATTAGGGAAGTGTTGGAAGCTTTTATTCACAACTTAGTGAACAACAAATACTTTACACCAAGCACCACACTATCGGTTGATGAACACCTTTGCGCATTCAAGGGAAAGATATGGGCAAAGGTATTCATCAAGTCCAAACCTCAGCGTTACGGCATCAAGTTTTGGGTTTGTTTTTTTTGTTGTAAGAATAATCAATGAAGTCGGAGATTCACGGTGTTGAGACATATACATCGGTAATTGACTTGTTGTTAATATTGTGTTTGATAATATGTTCAATGAATAACAAAAAGATGTGCTGTGATTGTGAAAGTGGTATGGTTATAAACCTACAGATGTACTGTGGAAAGTGCGACAAGAAGGAAGAAAATCAAGGATTTCGGGTGACTATAGATATGGTAGCTCCACAATTGTGTATAAGAAAGTTTGTGACAGTTGTATGTGACAACTTTTTCTGCAGCTTAAGATTGGCACATTATTTGGCTCAATGTGGTTCAACATTGCTTGTGATTGTGCGAAAAAATAGAACTGAGTTACCAGAAGAAGCCAAGCAAATCAAACGGTATGACCCCAATGATGATAAAAAGGCTACTACAAGAGAGGCAGATTCAACGGAAGTGTGTACAAAGGGTGTATGCAAATTGCTTTCTTACTATAACGAAAAGAAGAAGTTGGTGCTCATTATGACGACGATGCATAATGCTAAAGAGTTGTACACCGTTCAGGAGCAATTGAGGGGGAAAAATGGCAAACTTGTGAGTGTACACAAACCAAATGTGATAAAACAATACAATGCGACAATGGGAGGCGTTGATAGTGCAGATCAGATGATACATACTTACACTTGTAGAAGGCGCACTTCAAGATGGAATGTGAGAATACTTTATGATTTACTTGACATTGCTGCCCTCAATGTTTACAAGGTATATCATCATCACCACGATAAGGTGGACAGGTTGAATTTCCTCAATGAATTGACAGAGTCATTGATGGAAATGGAGTAAATTACTTCTTTGGTTTTATAGGTTTTATTATAGTTAATAATCTATTTATTTTCTTTGTTATTTTTCTGTTTTTTGTGATCTCTGAAAATCACTTTTGTGTATCGTACAATATTCAAAGCGTTTTTTACATATTTATAAGGGAGGGGCTTTGCTTTTTTATATAAAATTATTATTATTATACTAATTTTTCACTATAATATAATACAAATAAATGATGTGATTACATAATTTCCAAATCTCTGACTCACATCACCCTGATTCTTCGTTTTTGTATGCTTTATCATTGATTTTAAATTTGTAAGGATAGCATCACTCTACTGAGTTAATATATCAATTCAAAATAAAAGAATTGTGAATCTATTTGTTGGTTAGTTTCTATTGTGTATCCCTGTATAAACGCCACAAGCAACAAACAGTATATTCACTTCAAATAGCGATATATTGTGAAAGTGGGTGAGTAGAATACAAAATCTGGTTGATAAGAGTCACTATCTTACAAGTATATACATTCAAAGTCGCTTATTTGTAGGTTTTTGTATTTGTGGGTTTTGCTTATTTGTGGGTTAACTGACCAATCAAAATCAAAACATACAAATAGGTTGTATCTTCTCGAAACTGAGTAATTAATTGAAATCAATTAAAATAACTTTATTTTTTGAGTGTATCTGAAACAAAATCTAATATGGAATAAGACTTCTTTTGTATTTTTTAACCTATTTAATCTAATTCTTTTAAGTTTTTGTTAAAATGGTTTCAATATTTAATAATTGTTTTTATATTTTATTTTAAAAAATACTATAATTAATAATATTTTTTGATTGATAATACAAATGTGGTACTTAGGTTTCGACTAATAATTAATAATTATTATACCATTGTATAAATTATTTATAATAATTGTATTTGAACGTTTTTTTGAAAATAATTAAAAACCTTGTTCATTATTATTCAAATAGTATTCAAATAATAAAACGAAACCTTATTATTCGTCGAAACTTCAGTCTCATATTTGTAATTATATTATCAGTTTTTAAACAATAATAATAAAAATTTGAACCATTACAATTAGAATATTAAGGGAAACTGTTGAAAAATCTCCAAAAACACTATTTTTGTTTATATTTGGTTTCCCAACTTTTTTTTAATTCCTATTTTTTAAGGCTTATTTTGTGTATTTATTTTGTCAAGCAAACAACAATTTACAATAGACTTTAGTAAAAGACTAAAAATAAAGAATATGGTTATTTTTATTATTTTTTGATGATAAAAATAAATCATTCAAAAATAATGTTTAAAATTAAAGTTATTTATTATCATAATTTTTAATATTTTATTTTTATAAAAAAACATAAACTTTGTAAAAAAACTAAACAACAATGCGATAAAATTTCATCGCAAAATAAAAAAACAAATCCATCGAAGCAAAATAATCAAAATAACACCAAAATTATTTAGACAATCACATAATAATTAATAAAATCAATTTAATTGTTAAAAACAACAATCAATAATTAACACAACTATTTTTGTTGAAATATATTCTAAAGTTTCAAATAAAATCAAAAATACACGTTTAATAATTGAGTGTTTATAACAATCTTTATTTTTCATCAATGTCTCATAGCCCAATGATATCAAAACCTCCGAAAGTTAAACATGTGTATAAAACACAAGATGAAAAATTGCAAAGTTTAGTGAACACAATGAAAAATCCTTTAATACCACAGTATATTAATGTGATTGATTATTTAAAAGAAATCCCAGATATGATTATTTTTTTAAAGATCTTGAGATCAAAGTTAAATCCATGGCATTTGATTCTTTCCGTCAACAAGTACGTCATTGTTTAAAGGAATTGCCAGAAAATGTTTCAAAAATATTAAAAGAAAAAAAATTGTCTTTTCCCATTGCACTTGACTATTTTTTCGGGACTTTCGAAAGAAAAAGTGTTCGTTGTCAAATCGACAAAATAAACAACGAAAATAAAACTGGTAAAAAACCCGAAAAAGGACGAAAAAGACTACTAAATGATGAAGAAATTATTGCGATACAAAACGCAATAAAAGATAGTAAGACTAAAAAAGCAACACGTGAAGAAGCAAGTTTTTTTATTTACGAAAATTTCGACAAAAATATTGGGTCCAAGCAATTGCACAAAATTATGACCCCATATTCCAGATGTTGCACCAGTTATGGCACCAGTTACGGAAGCAAAACGGGCAGAAGTTACACCTGAGTCAATTTTGCAATATTACACTGAATTGAAAAAGAAAATTGATGGGTGTCGTTTTGAGCTTATTTTTAACCTCGATGAAGTTGGATTCGACCAATGGGTCGATTCTCATTCAAAAATTGTCTATGAAGAAGTTTCTAGAGGACAAGATGTGTTTAATGAAGTTGAAAGAGAAAGTTCCAGAACAAGTCTTTTGTGTTGTGGATGCCTAGATGGAACCAAAATGATTCCACTTGTTGTAACTAAAAAACTTTCTCTGGAAGATGTTGCTATTATATCCCTTAAAAGTCGGGCTTTATTATGGACACAAAAATCAGGTGTTTTGAATACTGAATTATACACCCTCTGGTTAAAAAAGTGTTCTTCCCGACAATTAAGGCAAAAAGAGAACAAATGGGTGTGCGTGCCGATATGAAAGCCTTCCTAATTCTTGATGGTTTTTCAGGCCATTTTTCTGAAGAAATTCAAAATTTATTTTTGGAAAATCATGTAGAAATGATTAAGGAGGTCCCTCACAGTTCCCATTTATGTCAACCAATGGACTTGGGAATATTCGGGAACCAAAAGAAATTTTTGGCGGACAAAAACAACTATCTTTGCCACAAATTCACTTTATTAAAAAAAGAAGGAAAAAATGTTGAAAAAAGTGGGAAATTGCTTCAAATAGATTCCCCAGAGTTCAAACAAGCAATGAAAAAAATATTAACATGTCTGAAGAGGAAAAATTAGAGAGCTAATCTATTCCTGGGAGTGTGTGGCAAATGGAGACAATGTCACGAGCTCTTTTAAACAAGCAGGAATATCATTTGTGCCACACACTCCCAGTGAAAGCGAGCTTCAGGAGATACAAAAGAAGTCGCCAAATTACAATATTTCAGATTACATAACGGGGGTGGTAAAAGTGGACATGAATGGGGCAAGAGAAGTCTGCAAATTCTTGGGTATGGCTGCAGAACCTAAAGTTGTTGGAGCGACCAGAGTTGCTCTCGAAAATTATGAAGACAGGAAAAAACGTCTTCAACGTGAGAAACTCACCAACACCAGGAAGCAAAGTCAAGCCAAAAAACCCAGAAAACCCGAAAAATAACTGCGGTTTTAAGTTTTATTTTTTGTCACAAACCTTTTTCTATAATTAAATAAAGTATTTGTTATATGTTAATTATATTAATATAATTTAAAATAGTAATATTTTAATCTGAGTATTATATATTAAAACACTCAACAATAACGACAATTCAAAAATATATTTGATACATTACAAAAAATAGTATAAAAAACAATATTTTAATTATCAAGGTTTGATTTACAACAAAAATGGGTATAAAAAAGTTTCAAAAATCTGAAATCAAACAATCATTAAAACTCAGAAGAAAACGCGTTTGTTTATCATGATTATGAACACTGTCAAATAATGAACTTGGGAAATTAAGAACGAAAAAAATAATGAGAAGGTCATATATGCATACAAATAATTATTATTCAACGACAACATATATTTATTACTGTCCCGAACCACCAGAAGAGACGTTTGTTTTATTTAATAATGTTTATAAGCATAGATTTTAAAATTATAATTTAGGTTATTACAGCTGATTAGTTTATGAATGGGAAAAGTTCCAAAAAGAAAAAACACAGAAAACAAAGTGATCAACAAATTACATCGTGATTAATCGTAACTAACGAAAATATAAACCATCTCGTTAACTGTGTTAAAAGAACTGTTTATTATACTTTGTTTAATTTGTACGGGTTTTGTCTCTATAAATCCAACTATTAATATCATTTTATAAATAGTTCAATGGGTTTCCCGATTATATTAAACAAATACATGTATTATATTATGTATTCTCCCTAATATAAATATATTATTAACAACATATTCGAAACACTTCTAAATAATACTCAGGCAAAGCAAAAATGTTGGTTTTATTTTTTTGAAAAAGGATAAAAAAAATAACAAAATAATAATTAAAAACCATTTAACCTATTGTTACCAACTTTATACAACATCGCTTTTTTCAGCCCCTTTAATTTTGTATCATATATAATAAATTTGTTTCAATATAAAATGAGTTTGTCTCAAAAAATATTTGTGCCATAATTATTAATTATTGTTTCAAAAAAATATAGAATGTTTGCATAAATGGTTTTTATTGTTTCTAAACAAATAATTACAAATCAAAATAAATGTGGGTAAATTAAAACATAAAAATGATTGTATTGTATTACGGTATGGCGGTCAACTCTTTTGTATTTATACATAGAGATGACATTGACCATTTTTTGAACGTATGGTCAACTGTCTGACAATATGCAAATTCCCCGACCTAAACAATTCAACTTGCAGATAAAAAAAGCGCTGCAGATATTTATTTATCATTCATACCACCAACTCCTCTTGAAATACAACCAACTTCTAATTCTACAGACAGGATATATAAAAGAATATATATAAGTCACAGAATCGCAAAGAAAAAAAATCGACCGAAGAATATGCCGATTATGGAAAAACATGAGATTGGAAACTTATTTGTTTTATTTTTTTATGATTTTTAGTTTAAATATTATTTTTTTAATTCTGGTTATTATTTAATTTTTAATACACTTTTGGTCTTATTATTTGAAAAAGTAAATAAAGTGCAGTTTTGAGCATATTATTCAAAAACATTCCCAAAACAGCATATTTTTTATTTTTATAATTATTTTCTTTAAAATAAGCAAAAAAATTCTTTTGTGAACAGGATTTTTTATTTTATCCAAAAAGATA